TTTCTAATCTGGTCACTTTTAACCCCAGTTAAAAACGTGCCGTTATCTGACTTGACCAGCACTGAGCTTCTCACCAAGGAGAGCACTGGGCCGCAGCTGTGGTCCGGCTAGAAAATGATACTTCTGTGTCCATTGGTCTAGTAAGGAATGGAAGCCTCTTGCCCTTTCTATAGATTTCTCAGCCAAAGACTTTGTCAGGCTTATCTGTGATACACTGTTTCAGAATTTTAAAAAGTTTAGAGAGATGGGAAAACCAGCCAGCTCTGGGTTGCACATCCCTTTTTGTTTCCCCAGGATTGACCCCGGGTGGTTCTGCTGCTTTCTTGAGGCTACCAAACAATGCAGTGTCCTATTTTAGGGCAATTTTGGAGCAACTTTTTAAGTCTTACATGTGAACCAAAGGTGAACTGGAATGATAAAAACTACTGAGAAGAGAAGATGCCGTCTTGAGCTCATTGTTTTTCTGGTCATTCATTCATATAAAAATCACTTATTCATTCATAAAATGAATCTGCTTTCATATTTTTGTGAGTATTTTGTGCCCAAAAATAACTTCTTGAGAATTGATTTGGAGAGCCAGCAGGTGGAGTGGTGGTTAAGGCACTAGACTCCCATATGGATGACTGTGGTTCAAATCCTGGACCTGGCAGCTTGCTTTTCTCACTCTCTCTCCCCTCCACTGTCTTATCTGTCTCTAGTGACTGTGAGTGCCCTGTACAAATTTTAAAAATAATAATAAAAATAAATAATTCTTTATAAAAAAGAATTACTTTGGTGTGAATATTCAATTTATTGAAGTTTGAATTTATAAATCCATATATTCTTACTAACCTCATCTCTAAATCAAGCACTTTTCTATGAATTAAGATAATTTTCCTCTTGTTATTGATTAGTATTTTAATAATTCAGACTTAGATCAAATTTACAAAATTAGTACTGTTTACAGATTTGGATAATTAAATGTCCTCAAATATGTTAGGCTGCATTCATAAATTTAACATATCTGGTTTCTTAAGCACTTCAGACATCTGACTCTAGACTTAGCAGCCAAACAAGCAAAATTTTTCCAATTTAAGCAATCCTTAGAAGTCAAGTAAAGTTATAATTGTCATAAATTATTATCTTAAACATTTCAATTCCTTTTACAATCTTAAATATTTCATCTTAAGAATCTCAAATCAAAAATCAATCCTCGGTGCCAGCAGGTGGTTTGGTGGTTTAAGGGGCTGGACTCCCCTCCCACATGACCGATCGTGGTTCAAGTCCCAAACCTGGTGGCTTGCTTTCTCACATTCTCTCACACACTCTCTCTCTCTCTTTTTCTCTCTCAGTCTCTCTCACTCTGTCCCTTCTCTGGTCAAATTTAAAGAAAAAGGAAATAAAGGCAAATAAAATGTATAAAATTCTTTATAAAAATTTTTTAAAAACAATCAATACTCTTTTAAAATTGAAATCCCAAGGCTGTCAGATTCCTTAAAAGATTCTGTATTCTTTTTTTTTTTTAAACAGATTTTTTGTTTGTTGTCAAAGGTTTTAGGCAGATAGTGAGAGGTGAAGTGAGAAATGACCCCCCAGGGGAGATAGCCACCTGCCACCTCTTCTCCATTCTCCTGGAATCTTGGGCACGCACCCATGCTTGGTATGAGTTTCAACCCACTGGGTCTGTGACTCGAACCAAGTTTAGCCATGTGGGAGTATAGCAACATACCTGCTATGCCATCTGCTGGTCCTAGCTCAGTATTCTTTTAAAGGTTATAAAGGCACAGAGATTATCCCAATGATCAGAAAAGCTTTCATTTTAAATTTGACTGTTAATATTATGATTACTTCATTATCTCTCTTTATTATTGTTGTTATTTTTTAGATTTTTGCCATAGGGTATGCTTAGCAGAGAAACAGAGAGAGATGAAAGTGAGCTGGAGCTGGAGGGGGTGTGGCCCACAGAATGAACTTGACCTTGCTGCCCCGTTGCCCTGATGCTCTTGCAGCCTCAGTTTCCTCATTATGATATAGGGGTGAGGCCAGCAGGTGGCATGGTGATTAAGGGGCTGGATCCCACATGGCCAAGTCTGCAGTTCGAGTCTCAGACTCAGCAGCTTGAAAAGTACACTGTGCACATGTGTGTTTGTGCCCAAGATCCTAGGTGGAGAATGGAGGAGAAGGGATTACACGTGGCCATCCCCCCGGGGGGCGATTTCTGATTTTCCTCCTCCCTGGCAAGCACGCTCACCCATTGTCAAAAAGAAAAAGAAACAAGGCTACTAGCCATACAGAGCAGTCAGCACGAGAGTTGGCGAGTGTGTGTGCCAACCTTGGCTGGCTGGCACGGGGCGTGTACTTAGTGAATAGGATTCGTTGTGAAAGGCAGCTTGATACAGACCAGAAGGAACACAGTTCCAAAGTGAGACAGTTTCACCTTTAAACCCATTTTCAGTTGATCGACAGTAGTCAGGGTGCCTTGAGTTATTCATCTGTTCGATGAGCAGGATACTGCCTGCGATGCAGTACCGTCTGAGAACTGAGAACTGGAGAAGTATGGAATAACATTGAAAGTACCTGGAACAATGCCTACTTCTGGGTAAGCAGCTAGCTGGTATCACTAGGCAGGTCCCTGCATATATTTGTAAGGTAAGGTGGACCTGCACGTGGACAGTGACGAAAACCCTGCACAGTATGCAGGAGAGAGCTTGTGTGTGAGACTGCGTGGGAAGGCAGAGTGGCAGGCCATCTGCATGGACTGGTGTGTCTGGAAAAGGCATGAGAGAGAACTTGGGTCAGGTTGGAGGGCTGAGCGAAGGAGGCAGGATTACATGAGTAAGGCTTGTTAAGCTTCTCAGAGCCGGGGACCCTCTGGGCCCCTGTGACATCATCCATAAACCCCTCTTTCGTATTCCTCTCCCTGCCTACCCTGTCTGCTTGGGGCCCACCTTCACACACTTCCCCTGCATTCCGGCGTGATTCTCCAGGTTGGCTGGATGAAAACAGGTTTGCAGTAAGCCTTTGTCTTCCCTCTCAGCACAGCTCAGGGTGTAGAGCCAGGCGTCGTTATGATGGAATAAACTAGAATTTTGGGGGGGTGTCATTTGTGTGTTGAGATGGGGGGTGCACTCCTGGCTTTCTAAGTCTCATCCACCCAACATTCTTCAAGCATCATGCTGCCCCTTTGCAGGGCTCTTAGGAAGCATGTTGTGGACGGCCAAGTGGTAGAAGAATGTGGTTACGTTGGTCCTTTGCTGTCAGATCTGCCACTCCCAGTCATGTGACCTTGAGCCAGGGTGTCTGACCTCCCAAGCCTTGGCTTCCTCTTGGAGAAGTGGGCTGTGTCACGTCTGGTGTGCATTGAGAATCGACAGATGGAAAGATGTCTAGAAGCACCAGAAAAATGATGGCTTGGGCCAGCCTTGTGGCTAGTGGTTAAATAAACCAGATCCCACATGGTTGATTGCAGTTAGAATCCTAGCGCCAGCAGCTTGAAAATATGCCAGGCATGTATGTGTGTATGCCCCAAATCCTACAGGATGGAGAAATGCAGAAGGGATTGTGATGTGACCACATCCCATGGTGTGTGTGTGGGGGGGGTGCTTTCTCCTTTTCTCTTTCTATCTGGCAAGCACACGTGCGCCCTAGCAATTTAAATAAGTATGGAGACTCTCAAGTCAGAATGACTGAATCCAGAATCTCTCTGCTTCTCACCAGCTGTGTGATCCTGTGCAAAACATCTCATTCTTCTAAGCCTCAGTTTCTCCCCTGTACACACAGTAATACTTCGCCTTTTCTCACAAGGTCCACTAGAGCAGCACCACATTTATGCCAGAAGCTTGCTTTTGTGCCTGCTCAACTCCTCCCCATGAGTTTCGAGCAGCAAGCATTTATTAGCACCTGCTGCATACCTGTCACTCCACAGCCAAACAAATGAGAAAACGCACCAGGGTGGTGATAGGGAGTAGAGGGGTGCTCATCCCAGGAGGTGACACTTCATCTGAGACCTGAAAGATGAGAAGAAGGCAAGGGACATGTGTTCTGCAAGAGGGACACCCATGCAGAGCCTTAACGATGAGAATCATCTTAGCTTAGAAGGAATTGAAACTCTCGTGATCTGAGACTGAGCACAGAGGTGAGGCAGGGCAGGGAGACAGGACAGGGAGGCTGGACCAGAGGGTCTCGAGGACCAGTGGATGGAGCTTGGACTTCAAGAACCTGAGAAGCAACTCCGTGGGTATTAAGCCATGGAGTGACAGGGTCTGATTTATATTTCAGATCCTCCTGGCTGTTGGGGGGGAATGGGTTGCTGGAGAGAAGGGCCCACAGAAACCAGCCGGGCCATTTGCTCGTGGACTGCAGGGGCGCTCGGCAGAGTGCTGGTGGCATGTGATATGTTTTGCAAACAGAGGTTGTAGGCCACATGCTGGGTGAACATGGTGCTGTCGGGAGGTGGCAGAGGGCAAAGAGAAGCAGAGAATCTAGAATCACTGCTAAGAGACCTGACTCCAGCAGCCAGGGGCGACAGTCAGCCTAAGGGCTGAAGGCAATGAATTCTATTCCAGACCCTAGAGTTAGAGCTGCTCAGGGAGGGGACAGGATTCTGCCGACTGTAGCCGCTTTCCTTCCTTGGCATTTCATTCCAGGGCTGGGGGCAGAGAATGCATGCTGAGCTCTCCCACCACTCGGACCCCAGGACAGTCTGACGCTGGCTCTTCCCCTACATGCTCTCAGCGCCAGTCCCCAGACTCAGTGCCCCTGCTCTGCTGCGAGGCCTGGGAGGGAGCAATGGGCTTTGGAAAGTTCCGAGATGAAGCTGAGGGTAGGTGGGCCATGGTAGTGTCCCAGGTACACCAGCATTGATGGCGGCTTGGTGAAGAGTTGCATCAAAGGGGAAAAGTGTCACCTGACCTTTGTGACTCAGGCCGGGACCTTCTGGGCTGGCACGCGTTGTTCCATGTCATCGGCCTGAGCGGGGGCAGCATGAGGTTTCGGTGCTCAGCATGTGTTTGTCTTGGCAGCTGGGACGACAGCAGCTCCGTCAGCAGTGGCATCAGCGACACCATAGACAACCTCAGCACCGATGACATTAACACCAGCTCCTCCATCAGCTCCTATGCCAACACCCCTGCCTCCTCCCGCAGAAACCTGGATGTCCAGGTAAGGAAAGGGGCCCTCCCAGCAGGGAGTCTTGGGCTGTGGGAGACAGGGCCCTCTGAGGGGCAGGCTTCCCCAGGTTGATGAGGCACGGCCCAGCCTCCTGCTGCCTGGGCCTTCATCTCTGTGATCGGCCTCTCCATGCAAGGAAAGGGGATCAGGCAGCAGCAGGAGGTGGGAGATGGGCGGAGAAGACCTCTCCACACTCACTGTTGTGGCTGGGGTCGAATCACATTTCCTCGTTGGATCTCAGTAGCGTAATCTGTTTCTAAAAACAAACAAGATCGAGGCAGTGGTGCATGCTGCCAAGACACTTCTGCTATGAGGCTTAGGGCCACACAGGAGGCCTGGGTCGGTTCCTGGTCCACGTTATGCAGGCTGGGCACTGTGGCACACTCCTGTAGTCCTAGCCAGCGGGGGGCTGGGGCAGGAGGCTCCTGACAATGTATATCCCTGTCAAAAATCAACCAGTTGGGCCAGCTCCATCAGCTAGTGGCTGGGACAGCCAGATCCAATGTGGCCAACTCTGTAGTTCAAGTCCCGGAGCCAGCAGCTTGAGAAACACTGGGCACGTGTGTGTATGCCCAAAATCCCAAAAGGAGGGAGAGATGGAGGAGAAGGGATTGCGGTATGCCCACCTAGGGGTTTGCTTTCTGCTGTCCCCCTCTCTCTGTCTCTCTCTCTCTGGGTGAGGTGGGGGGACTGTCTCTCAGTCTTCCTCACATAACAAACTTATTAACTTTAAAAAACAACTGAAAATAAAGGGCATTGCTCCTGCCTGAGGGCGAAGAGATGGGGTACCCCAAGGGGAAGGTCTGTGGATTGAGAAAGTACAGTCCGGCATCTCTACTGGAGAACACCACCTAAGGTGCTGCGAGTCCAACACCTAACTAGTCCCCACCTCTTACTTTACACACTCAGATGTTCCCTTTCAAACACAGCGCAGTTTGTTCACTTCCCTCTGTTGCACTCCTTTGTCGTCAGCAGGGATTGGTCCTCGGGAGTCTTTTCTACTAGTTAGAAGAGCTAGGTGCCATCCTGATAGCTTGACCTCAGGTTGGGGCTGACCAGGACCAGAACTGGTCCACCATGGCGATGCTGGCGTTGTGGACTGGAATCTTTTTCACGATCCGCGCCTCTTCCTGTGGGGGCCGCTGTCTTCAGTGAACTCAGGAAAGTCTGTTAGATTGTGACAGTGTCCCGGGAGAACCTGGAGAGGGCCCAGCTAACGCTGCCCCCTCTTTCTTCCATAGCCCCTTCCTTTCTCAGCTGTGATCACTTCTGTACAGACAGGCACTGCTTTGGAAATCCCTTTGCTTTCCAAAGTGTCTCTTCTTTGAGGATGAAGCTAGAAAACGGCTGTGTCAGAGGGAGAGAAATGCTGTCCCCTAGGCCGTGGACTTTGACTGCCTGGTGAAACACACAGGACACCTGCAGCTGTTGCCTCTGAGATTACCCATTATTCTTTTAGCCACAATGTATCGTTATTGTTTAGGAATAGGTGGAGATCGTGGAGGTTGGTTTAAAAAAAAAAAATACCACCTAGGGCTGGCTCTGTCCTGTAGTGATTAAGCACTGTGTCTTGGGAGCAGGATCCCACATGGCCGACCACAGTTCAAATCCCAGCCCCAGTGACTTGAAAAACAAGCCATGCATATGTGCATTTGTGGCTAAAATCCTGATGAGATGGAGAGAAACGAATTGCAACATGAACATGCCCCATTCAGGGTGGGGGTGGGGGGGTTGTAAAGCTTTGGGGACCTGGTAATGTTCTTGATCATAGATACTGAGGTGGGGAACCAAGAATTTGATCTTCTGATGCTGCAAGGCAGACAAGCTATTAGAGGAACTGCAGAGAGAGTGCATTAAAGAATATCTGACTCAGTGTGGTGTCCCTTGTTCATATGCAAGGTAGAAGCAGTCTTGCTCCTTTTTTATTCTTTTTTTTATGCCAGGTGGCACATGCATGCCACATGCATGAAAGAGTGAGAAAGAGAACATGCAAGCAGGTCTGGAGCCTGGTGACACTGCAGTCCTTTTTCCTCCAGTTCCTCATTCTGTCAGAGTCCTGAGCACCTGCACACATACCTGGCATGTGTTTTTTTTCTTTTTTTGGAGAGGTTTTTGCTATAGGGCGCGTGCGCTCACCAGACAGAGAGAGACAGAGAGATAGAAAGCGAGAAATCACCCCCCAGGGGGGATGGCCACGCCGCAATCCCTTCTCCTCCATTCTCCTCTCAGGATCTTGGACACACATGCACACGCGCCCGGTGTGAGTTTTAAGCCACCGGGTTCAGGACGTGAACCGTGGTCAACTACGTGGGAGTCCAGCGACATAGCCATTACGCTAACTGCTGGTCCCACTGGCATGTTTTTTAAGCCAGAAGGACTGGGACTCGAACCCTGGTCAGCCAGTGTGGGATCTGAATTCCTGAATGCCGCCTGCTGTGCCCTGGGTCAGGCCCTCGGCTTACTCCTAAGATGCACTCTGAGCCTGCACAGTGCTGCCTCAGAGAGCTCTCCTTGTCTGTTATTCTCCTACAAGGCTGCATTGGCGTCTGTATTCCACACTGATAACATGCCTGGAAATCCCAGACCTTTGCGATTTCCTATGAGACATTGCTGGGTCTGGTTGGTGCCGAGGCTTCCCTCCTCTCTGACCTGCTCTTTGCTTTCATCTTGCAAATGTCACATCAGAGAAGGTTCAAGAATACCATACTTATGTCTTGAATCAGATCAGAACTTATTGCAGGGAACATAAAACTGGGTAGTTTTTTGCTATAAAACGACCTGAGTTTAAAATGTTAAAATAAAAACTGAAAACGTAGGCCTTAGAATAACATAAATGCATTGATGGCTATGAAGATTTCTAGTGCAGTTGTTTCTTTCCATGGCTTTTTAATGATATTCCCTTTGTTCCTAGCCAGGGAGCATCTCAAAATATTTGAATCAGCATAATTTGCAGCCTCCATCCCACTCCCCCTTATTACTGGGAGGAATGCTAAGGGCCATTACTCCTCCCTGAGCCCCTCAAGCAGTGGGAAGATTGCAGCGCACCCTTCCTCATAGCTGCCCCTCTGTGCTGTGTGCTGCTCATTCTGGTCCTGTGCAGGCTGGCTTACCCCGGTGAGTGGGCAGCACAGAGACTTCGGGCACATCATGGGGAGAGGGAGGGTAGGAGGAAGTAGATCCACGTGTCCATCGGAAAAGCCAATGGAGAACAGGTTGCCTGCCCAGGTTTTCCTATTTGGAAAGCCTGAGAGAGACAGCTAAAAGGACATCCGTCGATGAAACTATGCAGTTACTGTCTGCAAAACCCAAGGAGCAGCCTCGCGTAGCCGATTGAAAGAGGAAGAGGCAGATAGCAGAGGAGGCTCCCAGGGAATGGAGGGTCCCTTTGTCTTCGACGGAGTCTGCTTTCCTCAGGGACGTTGAGGAGCACCGAGATGCCCTCTCCAGTGCACCCTGCCCCACTGTCTGGCAACAGGCCTCTGTGCTCGCTGTCCCATGGCATGCTGGACAGTGGACTCCCTGCTTGAGGCCTGAGCCACTGGCTGACATCCTCCAGGAGAGCCAGTTAGTCCCAGGGACCCATGTGGGCCGCTGAACCAGGTTGCAGTGTCAGAACGAAGGTGGGGACTCTGAAGGGGGTGAGCTCCTCACTCTGGCATCCTCGGGTAAGCTGATCAACCTCTCCACGTCTGCCTTCTCATCCATCAAATACTGGTGATCAGACCTGTCTTGAAGGGGGAGTGTGAGAGTGTCGTGGAAGGGCTCCATCTGAACATGCCTCTGTTTGTGCCCGAGACTGGATAGCACTCGGAGGTTGGCTGGTTTCCGTTTTCCCTTCTCTTCCTTCCTCCTTTGCTCTAGGTTTCCTGTTCCTCGGCTTCCGTCCTCATTAAGGTCAGGAATTACGAGCTGACTGTGCTCTTAGTGTGTTTCGTTTGTGTTTCCGAGTAATTCATCTTTACTTTGTGGCTATTTCTCTGGGAGGCCATTGTGCCCCATGTAGTCACCTGTGCCTTTAGTCACCTGTGTCCTTGGCCACTGGGTTGCCTCAGGGAGGAACTGCTCAGACGCTGAGGTGCAGAGAAGCTCCTGTCAGGATTTTGTCTCACTTACAATGCCCACGAGTTTTGCTTTTTCTTTTTTTCTTCAGCTTACTGTAGTGCAGGTGTACTCCCTGGAGAGAGGGAAATTGAGAAATCACCCCCTCCCAGGGGAATGGCCATGCTGCAATCCCTTCCCCTTTGTTTGCCTCTTGGGATTTTGGGCACACATGCACACGCACCCTGCATGTTTTTTAAGCCACCAGGTCCGAGATTCGAACTACATAGTCAGGCACATGGGATCCAGCCACCCAGCCACCATACCACCTGGCTGGCCCCATTCTTTTTCTTCTCTCTCTTTCTTTCTTTTTTCTTTTTTTCTTTTTCTTTTTTTTTTTTTTTTTGTTATTTTGTCATAAAAAAACACAGGGAGAAAAAGATAACTCCGCGTCACTTTGGTTTGTGTTGCTCAGGGAGATAGGATTCTGAGTTACGTGCAAGGACTCCTGCCCAGGAAGCCCTGAGTGGCTCTGCAGCTCTCTGCCTATTCTCTGGGTGTTGGTGTGGATGAGGGCAGCAGCTCTGGCTGGGGTCCAGGAGGGAGCCTCTTCTGCCCACCTGTTGGGAGCTGCTGCTCTGACTTTGGACGAGTTACTTTTCCACTTTAAGCCTGTGCTTCGCTGGTCTGTGAAATATGGCTGATGATACGGGCTCCGAGCGTGAGATGAGCTGGGCGTGTGTGTGGAGAGACACGGCGCCCGCTGAGACCAGGCGGGCCATGGTGCTGACTGCGGTTGGTTCTGTTATTATCGAACTCAGGCCTCAGCCAGTTCAGCCTCTGGACCCACAGGGGATGCAGGCACAAGAAGGGAGAAGCCCAGACTCCAGAGGCTAATGACCAAGAAGCCACCAAGGCGAGTTCTCTGTCCACTCTCACGACAAAAGTGGGGTAGAAACTGAAGGTAGACGACAGGGTTCAGGGAGTCTCAGGCAGGAGCAGTGGGACCGAGAACATTGTTCGAGTCCCTCCATGTTTAGTTTATTGGGTTCCCCATTAACCGTCTACAATACCTACTCCCTGCCCTCCCCATCTCACGTGTAAAGTAACAGTCTCAGGGAAACAAAGCTGCTCCCTCCAGGGACGCGCAGCAAACAAGCGACAGCACCTCGTACTTGAACTCCTGTCCATCGGAATGCAAAGCCCACGCTCTACCCCACCTCCCCTGAGCTCCCCACTTCTCGGGATCGCCTCGGTTCTACCCTCTCGCTCTCAGAAGACTGGCCTCCCCTTTGACTTAGTTTCCTGCCTTGTCACTTGGCTGTTCAGTGACTGAGTAGACATCAGGTAGGGACAATAAGAAAGACCCTCAGGAAGGAGGTGCCATCGAGGTGGGAGCAGCTGGCACAGGCTTCGAGAGGAGAGGAGGATGAATTCAGCCTGGCCCTGTGTGACTGTCCTGTTCCACAGGACAGTCTTCTACCGGAAGCTTGGGAATGCCCTCGTTTGTTTATCCCATGGGATGCCAGGAAGGCCTGCTAAAGAGATGTGAACTTATAGCCACTGAGTGTCCCAGAGCAGATGCCCAGCTGTTCAGAGTTCGGCTGGGAAGGCTACTGCTCTGGACCGAGTTGCAGGCCGGGGTGCGTGTGATGGTTGGAGGATTATTCTTTCCAGAGGGCCAGAGCGAAGCTATGGTCCTGAGCTAGGGACATGCACTCTCTGTGTTCGTGGTCCCACCCAGAGGCTGGCCTGGAGCTGCTGAGTGGTGTGGTCAGGACAGCCTGCCTATTGGTGTGGGAGGAGAATCCCCGGGTGTGAGACGTGTATGAGGTGTTGGTGGACGTGCACAAATGTCTACATCCACGGACTTATCCCCAAGAAAGGGGGCGTGGCGTGGTTGTTAAAATATGGGCTCTGCAGGGCCAGCAGTTGGTGTGGTAGTCACAGCACTAGACTCCCACTTGGGTGGCCATGGTTCAAATCCCAGACCTGGCAGCTTGTTTTCTCACTTTCTCTGTCTCTCTGTGTCTTTCTGGTGCGTGCATTGCCCTATAGCAAAATAAAAACAATAATAATTAAATTAAATAATTATTTTAAAAATGTCTAAAATTTAAAAAGTGAGGGCTCTGCAGTGAAGACTCCCTGGAATCCTTGCATCTCTGGTTCCCCATTGTGTGATCTTGGGCAGTTTTCTTTCCCACCCACCCCAGTTTTCTCATGTAAAATTGAAGGTAGCAACTGTAACTTCTTCATAGGTTTATTTTTTCGTAAGGATGAAGTTAAGTAGTACACAGAAAGCACGTGAGCGCATGCCTGGCATGTAGTAAATGCTCAGTAATTTGAGTTGGTGCTGCTGCTGCTGCTGCTGACAACATTATAGTTTGGTGGGGGAGACAGGTATGGGAGCAGGCATCAGAAAGCAGCAACCCGACATGGCGTGTGC